GGTAGAAAATCACGAGAAGCACGATTTTGACAGTTTCAAGACAAAATTTCAAATTTTTCGACTAGAAATCCCCCCCTTCCCGGTTCCAGCGTTGAAAACTAAGATAAAAACTATCAAAATCGAGTTTCTTATAACTTTTTATACCTGGAAACCAATTTTCAGTCCTTTAGCTCGATTTGTCGTAAAATCTGGTGTCTCGTCTGCAAACACTTTGATCTACGCGGTGTTTGCAGACAAGGCACCAAATTTTACGACAAGTAGAGTTAGCAAGCTGAAAATTGGTTTCCAGGGGTAAAAAATCATGAAAAACTCGATTTTGATAGTTTTGAGGTCGAAATTTTGAATTTTTCGACTCAAGTTGGCAATTTTCCTAGTTCCAAAAACGAAGGATGGCATTGAAACTTTCAGAATCGAGGTTCTCATGATTTTTTACCCCTCGGACCCAATTTTCAGCCCGCTAGCTCAACATGTCGTAAAGTTTCGTGTCTGGTCTGCAAACACTTTGATTTACGCGGTGTTTGAAGACAAGACACCAAATATTACGATAAATCGAGCTAACGAGCTGAAAATTGGTGTCCAGAGGTAAAAAGATATGAGACAAATGTTACATTTTTCGACAGGAAATCGCGATTTTCGCAGTTTCAGAGTTGAAAACTAAGCTCAAAACTATTAAAATCGTGTTTCTCATTATTTTTTACCCCTGAAACCTGATTTTCAGCCCGTTAGCTCAATGTGCCGTAAAACCTGGTGTCTCGTCTGCAAACACCGCGTAGATCACAGTGTTTGCAGACAAGACACCCAATATTACGACAAATCGAGCTAACGAGCTGAAAATCGGTTTCCAGGGATAAAATATCATGAGAAGCTCGATTTTGATAGTTTCAAGACAAAATTTTACATTTTTCGACTAGAAATCGCAATTTTCCCAGTTCCAGCGTTGAAAACTAAGCTACCAAAATCGAGTTTCAAAATCGAGTTTCAAAACTACCAAAATCGAGTTTCTTATAACTTTTTACCCCTGGAAACCAAATTTCAGTCCTTCAGCTCGATTTGACGTAAAATCTCGTGTCTCGTCTGCAAACACTTTGATCTACGCGGTGTTTGCGGACAAGGCACCAAATTTTACGACAAATCGAGCTATCAAGCTGAAAATTGGTTTCCAGGGGTAAAAAGTCATGAGAAACTCGATTTTGATAGTTTCGAGGTCGAAAAACGCTCGAAAACCCTCGACATCGGCCAAAAATGACTCAAATTTTGCAGGATTTGGAGCGAGAAGAGCGGAAAAATCTGGGCTCAGGCAACAAAGAGTACGAAGCGGAGAAAGCGCAAGAAAAACGAGAATGGGAGTCGAAAATGGGCATTCAAGTGTATTTTGCGGACGGGACAAATGATTTGGCGAAGAAAAAAGAGTGGTACGAGGAGATGCCGTTGCGGAGAATGGGGGCGGAGCCCAGTTTGAATAAGAGGCCATCTGGACAAATGGATAAACAGAAAGAGGCGGAGAAAGGGAGAAAGAGGAAGAGAAATAGTGAGAGTGATGAGGAGGAGGAGACGCAGAGAAAGAGGCATAAGAAGGATAAGAAGCATAAGAAGAAAAGTGAGTTTTGGTGGCCTAGAAATCCAAACTTACAAAAGTTAGGCCACCACGTTAAAATGGCTTGAAATTTTGATTTTTTTTTTCAAAAATTAATTTTTTTTCAGAAAAACGCCGACACCATCGTGACAGTTCAGAAGAACGTCGTCTCGAAGAGGAATACGATCGTGAAAAAAAGCAGAAGTTGGCGAAATTGAGAGATGAGAGATTGAAAAGGGAACGAATTGAGAAGGGAAGAGAATATGCATTATTACATCCGAAAGAAATGGAGCAAAAGAAAAAAGAGGAGGAGAATGAGAGAAAAAATGGGAAGCCGAGATATAATTCACAGTTTAATCCCGAGTTTTTTAGAAAATGATTTTTTTTTGAAAATTTCGATTTTTTGAATTTTCCCATTTTTCGCTGATTTTTTGACCGAAATTTCCCATTTTTCAAATATTCTAAAATTATTGATTTTTTTTTAGTTTTTTGGATTTTCTGAAATTCGCAAATTTCAGAATTTTTGAATTTCAGAATTTTCTGGATTTCTGGATTTCGGAATTTTTGAATTTTCGAATTTTCAAGCTTTTTTGGATTGCTTTTTTCTGATTTTCTCGAAGTTCCAATTTTTTGAAAAATCTGAATTTTTTGGAATTTTTGTTTGAATTTTGAAAATTTTGAATTTTTGGAATTTTCAAATTTTTTTGTTCTCCAAATTTCAAAGAATTTTCGATTTTTTGCATTTTTCGAATATTTGAATTTCGAAATTTCGGAATTTCTCAATTTTTGATTTTTAAAAATTTTTTTGGATTTTGAAAATTCCCAAATTTTGAATTTCAGGATTCTTGAATTTTCGAATTTTGGAGGTTCTTAATTTAGGAATTTCTGAATTTCCGAATTCCCAAATTTTGGAATTTCGAAATTGTTTTCGATTTTCTGAAATTCCAAATTTTCAATCTTTTCTGATAATCTCGAAATTCAAATTTTTCGAATTTCCACTTTTTTCGATTTCCTCAAATTCCAATGTTTTGAATTTTTCGGATTTTGAAAATTTTCAGTTTTTGGAATTTTTTTATTGTACAGATTCTTTATTTTTTGTTTCAATGATCTCCAATTCTTTTTTCTCTGTAATTTCGAATTTTTAATAAATTTTTTTTTTCCGAAATTTCATAATTCTCTGTGTCTTGTTTCATTGATCGCCTCGCCGTGAGGCGGCATTCAATTTCATATACTTGCACTTTCGAAACAATGATTCTTAAACAAAAATGACGTCATTCTTTTCGAAATTGTAGACAAAAAATTTGTATTTTTCCCCCAAAAATCGATGTTTAAGACAATTTTTGAAAAAAAAATTTTTGTTTCGAAATTTTGGTTTTTGAGACAATTTTAAAAAAAATCTAATTTTTTTGAAATTAATCGATTTTTAAAAGACAAAATAGGTTTGAAAACAAAGAAAATGTTTGAAATTTCAATATTTTTGAATTTCCCGCCGAAGCACAAAGTTTTCAAATTCCAAAAAAAATCTTCTGAATTTCAGTTGCTGAAACTTGGTGATCTCCATAGGATAATAATGACAATAACGTACCCGAGAAAAATATGGATAGTTCGGCATGCCGAACGGTAAGGGACCAATTTTTTTTTTTAAATTTAGAGAAAATGCAAATTCGCTCTAATGAGAAAATTTTTGAAAATCGAGAAAAATAGCTGAAAAAGGAATACATTTGAATTTTAGATTTTTCGCGAAAATTCGAAATTCAAAGTTTCGAAATTTTGACGAAAAAAAATCTGGTTTTCTGAAATTTCCGTATTTCCGGATTTCCTAAATTTTGAATTTTTGTTATTTCTCGGAATTTCTGATTTTCAAATTTTTTAGAATTTCCGAATTTTCAGAATTTCGCCATTTTTGAATTTCTCCGCTTTTCAAAAATTCATTATTTCTGAATTTCCTAAATTTTGAATTTTTGTGATTTTTCGAATTTCTGAATTTCGAATTTTTTGAATTTTTGATATTCTGAATTTCTCAATTTCTCAATTTCCGAATTTCTGAATTTTCGAAATTCTGATTTTTTGATATTCTGAATTTTCCGAAAAAAATCGAAAAGTTTAAAAATTTGAAAATCATAACTCGAATTTTCTAGAATAATCGAAAAATCAGCCGAAATTTCAATTTTTTCCAATAGAGCGCGCTTTCTGAATTTCCGAATTTCCGAAATTTTGAATTTCAATTTTTTGAATAAACGTTCAATAGGGCGCATTTGCAGCAAAAATTTAGAATTTTCCGAAAATTCAAACAAATGTCCAATAGAGCGTTTTTGCACTTTTTTCGATTTTTATTTACTAATTTTGATTTTCCGAAAAATAGAAAATTGAAAAACTAGCCGGTGTTTCAAAAATAGGGCCGATTGAGCACATTTAAATCATTCATCAATAGAGCGCACTTGCAGCGAAGACAACGTGAATCGTCACTGGCGTAAGCTCGACGGAGCCGATTTTTTTTTGAAAAAAACGTCCAATAGGGCGTATTTGCACCAAAAATTTCGAATTTTGCGAAAATTCGAAAAATGTCCAATAGAGCGCATTTCCATCATTAATTTTTTTCAAAAATTTTCATTCACTAATAGAGCGCGCTTGCAGCGAAGACAACGTGAATCGTCACTGGCGTAAGCTCGACGGAGCCGATGGCCTAGCATCGGACAACTCAATGCTAAGTGCTCGTGGAAAACAACAAGCGAACGAATGCAAGAATCGATTCAAAAACGCTCAAATCGCGCATTGTTTCGCGTCGCCATTCGATCGAACCATCGAAACGGCATCAACGATAATTGAGGAGAAAAATCTGAAAGTTAAAGCGGAAGGCGGCCTTTGTGAGGCACTTTATCTGTGCGAAAAGCCACCGGGATTCTGGGAAACTGAGCAATTGGCGGAGAAATTCCTATTGGTTGATACCGACTATGTGCCCGTTTATTCGAGGGTGAGGCGGTGGAAAAATAGAGAAAATTGACCATTTACCATAGTGGCCGAACTTTCGCAAAATGAATTTTCCAGGCCACCAAGTTTTCTAGCTCAGAAATAGCCTGATATTCACTTGGTCAGATTCCTAAGCCTTTTCAACATGGTGGCCTAACTTTTGCAAGTTGAAATTTCTAGGCCACCATGCTAAATTGCTTAGAAAACACATCACGTGAATATCTGGTCAATGATCGGTGAAAAAAGTTGGTGGCCTAGAAAAATCAAAATTCGGCCACCATGGCAAAATGGCGTAGAAATGACCTAACACGCCCATTGTATGCTTTCTAGGCCATTTCAACATGATGGCCTAACTTTCTCAACTTGAATTTTCTAGGCCACGATCTTGAATGGCCTAGAAAATACATCGGTTGAATGCTAGACCATTTCTAGGCCTAAATAAGTGGTGGCCTAGGAATCCTAACTTGCAAAAGTTAGGCCACCATGGTGAATGACGTAGAAATGACCTAACATGCCCGTGGTATGCTTTCTAGGCCATTTCAACATGGTGGCCGAACTTTTCCAACATGGATTTTCTAGGCCACCGGCTTTTATGGCCTAGAAATAGCCTGATATTCACTTGGTTCGATTCCTAATCCATTCTAACATGGTGGCCTAACTTTTGCAAGTTGAATTTTCTAGGCCACCGTGCTTAATTGCTTAGAAAACACACCACGTGAATATCTGGTCAATTATAGGTAAAAAAAGTTAATGGCCTAGGAAAATCTAGTTGAGAAAGTTCGGCCATCATGATAAATGACCTAGAAAAAGCCTGATATTCACCTAAAGCGATTTGAAGGCCATTCTAACATGATGGCCTAACTTTTACAAGTTGAGTTCTCTAGGCCACCACTTATTTTGACCTAGAAATGGTCTAACATGATACTGGTGTGTTTTCTAGGTCATTTTTACACGGTGGCCTAACTTTCTCAATTTGAATTTTCTAGGCCACAATCGTAAATGGCCTAGAAAACACATCAGTTGAATGCTAGACCATTTCTAGGCCAAAATAAGTGGTGGCCTAGGAATCCTAACTTGCAAAAGTTAGGCCACCATGATAAATAGCCTAAAAATGGTCTGATATTCACCTGATGTGATTTCTAGGCCATTTTAACATGGTGGCCTAGAAAATTCCTGTTGAGAAAGTTAGGCCACCATTGGTAGATGGTCCAGAAATGACCTGAAATTCATCTGAGGTGTTTTCTAGGCCGTTTCAACATGCTGGCCGAACAAATTCATGTTGCAAAAGTTAGGCCACCATGTTCAAGTGGCCTAGAAACCCATCAGGTGAATATCAAGTCATTTCAAGGCCACTAAGTTTGGTGGCCTAAAAAAACCATATTGAGAAAGTGAGGCCACCATTTTTTAATTTTTAGTACACTCTTCCGAAAGAGGCTTGCGGAGACGACGCATGTGTGAAACGTGTCGGAGACACACTTCGGAAGCTGTTCGAGAAATTTGAAGGTGATTCTTAAGAAAATCGATAATCGATTTTTCTGAAATTTCTGAAAATTTCAAATTCCCGCCAAATTTCAGGAAACCTGCTCCTCGTCGGACATGGTGCATCGATTGGCGCTTGTCACGAAATCCTGATGGGCGATTTCAAATATGTGGGTCAGGCTACAGTATCCGAGTTCGAGGAAACCGCTCCTGGCAAATATCGATGCAATTTCAGTTCGGATTCGTCGCACTTGTCGGATAAGAAAATTTGAGACCGTGGTGAAGGAGAAAGTGCGCTCCAGTGATGATTTCCATGTTTTTCACCGATTTTTCGATTTTGTTCGATTAGAGCGCGATTGCGCTGTTTTTCAATGTTTCCAAATAAAGATGATTTATTTGTCCATTTCAATAATTTTTTAATTTTTAAAAATCGAAAAAAACCATAATTTTTGACATTTCGAATTTCTGAATTTTGGAGTTTTGGATTTTCTGAATTTCTGAATTTCCTGAATTTCTGAATTTTGTGAATTTCAGAATTTTGAACATTTTGAATTTCGGAATTTCAACATTTCTGAATTTCTGAACTTCTGAATTTCTGAATTTCTGAACTTCTGAATTTTGGAGTTTTGGATTTTCTGAATTTCACGAATTTCAAAATTTTTGAATTTCTGAATTTTGTGAATTTCAGATTTTGAACATTTTGAATTTTGGAATTTCTGAATTTTTGAATTTCTGAATTTCACGAATTTCAAAATTTTTGAATTTCTGAATTTTGTGAATTTCAGATTTTGAACATTTTGAATTTTGGAATTTCTGAATTTTTGAATTTCTGAATTTTCGAATTTCTGAATCTCTGAATTTCTGAATTTCTAATTTTAATTTTTTTGGAATTTCTGAATTTTCGAATTTCAGAATTTCTAAATTTCTGAATTTCAAACTTTTTAAATTTCTGAAGTTCTGAACTTTTGAAATTCGAATTTTCCAAAAATATTCGAAAATTTTAAAAATTTGTAAAACAGGATTTATCTAGATCTCGAAAATTAAAAGGCTTAAAATTCCACTTTTCTTTCAAAATTTCGAATTTTCGAGATTTTCCAATAGAGCGCGCTTTCTCAATTTTATGAATTTCTGAACTTTCGAATTCTCGAATTTCTGAATTTTGGAGTTTTGGATTTTCTGAATTTTACGAATTTCTAAATTTCTGATCTTCAAACTTTTGGAATTTCCGAATTTCATGAACTTCTCAATTTCTGAATTTCTGAATTTCCAAATTTTGGAATTTCTAAATTCCGAAAAAATTTTGCCAAAAAAGGGGCGGAGCTTAGACCATGTGGGCGGAGCTAAGCCATTGTAGCTGTTATTTTTTCATTTTTAGTATGTTTCATAATTCATTTTTTCCCAATTTATTTATTTACAAATTTTAAAAATTTCAAGGTAAAAGTTTCATGAAAATTCAATTTTCAATATTTTCCATTTGATTTTTCTCAATCGATTCATTTTTCTCCGCCGCTGTTGGTGATTGGTTTTTAGTAGAGTCTCCGGCGAACGTCTTCACAAAGCCATCGATCAAATAATCGGATTTCGATTTCCACGTGGCAAGCAGGCCACGCCCCATTTCGCCCAGCCCATCCATTGTGTCCTGGATACGGTACTTGCTTGTCTGAAATTAAATATTTTTTGGAATTTTCAGAATTTCCGATTTCTGGAAATCTATATTCTTGAAGTTTGCACTTTTCGGAATTTTCAAATTTCCAATATTTCAAAAATATTCCAAAAACTCAAAGATTTTAAAAATTCCAAAACTCCAAAAATTCAGAATTTCAAATTCCCGCCGAACCCTACCGTAAAGAATCCAATATTCAAATCAGTGGCCGTGTATCCTCTCTGTAGATTTCTTCGAACATATGTATCATAGTCTCTGATAATTCGACAAATCGAATCACTTGTCGAAATTCCTTCAGTTCTCTGCGTCTCCAGGAACATTCCAGCCTCTCGATGTTTCTCGTAAATATCCTCGCCTAGTGGTCCCGTGTAGGGAAGCGCGTCGTGGGACATGAAGTCTACCTGGAAAGTTTTGAAATTTTCGAAAATTTGAAATTTCAGATTTTCTCGGTCATTTTCAGCCAAAAAAACAGAAAGATTGGTTGAAAGCGAAGAAAGTTTCATGGATTTGAAATTTTTGGAATTTTTTTTCGAAAATTTTTAAATTTTTAAATTCAGGAATTCAAAAACTACAGTAATATTTGAAATTCAAAGCCCACAGTAATCTTTGACATTCAAAAACTACGGTATCCGGGATGTTCAAAAACCACAGTAATCCTGAAAATTCCAAAACTACAGTAATCTTGGAAATTCCAAAATTCAGAAACTCAGAAAATCGGAAATTTCGAAATTCAAAAACCACATCAATTTTTGTAATTTAAAAATTACAGTAATCCTGAAAATTCAAGAACTACAGTAGTCCTGGATATTCAAAAACTACAGTAATCCTTGAAATTCAAGAACTACAGTAATCCTAGAAAACTCAAAAAGTTTTGTAGTCTTTGACTATAAAAACTACAGCAATTCTGAAAACTAAAAAAACTACAGTAATGTTTGAAATTGAAAAACTACAATAAGCCTTGAAATTCAAAAACTACAGTAGTTCTTGAAATTCTGAAATCCCGAAAAAACTTTTCGAAAAATTACCTTCAATTCCTTCAAAAATGGAATTGGACAAGTCCATGGAGATGCTTTGTAGACCTCATCCACATATCGACAATGACGAATCGCTTCGTATCTTTCCTCTTCTGGTTGTACAGTACGCCCCTTGTACTTCAGAGTTTCCTCATCCGAACAGACTGAAAATTTATTGAAAATTAGAAAATCTGAAATTCCATTTTTTTCCCGGTCGTTTTAAGCTAGAAATAATGAAAATCCGTAAAAAATGAAGAAAGTTATAAGGATTTGAAATTTTTTGAAAATTTCAATTTTTGAATTTTTTCGATTTTTCGATTTTTGAAATTTTTGAAATTTGAATTTCTGAATTTCTGAATTTCGGAATTTCGGAATTTCTGAATTTCTGAATTTCTGAATTTCTGAATTTGTTTTTTTGTACAACTCCCAGACATGTGGTATTTACTATTTTCTATTTATTATTCCTATTTTTGTTGGCACCAAAATAAATATTTTTATATGTTGATCAAAAAATTATGATACATCGAAAAATCGGAAAATATTTTTTACGAGAAAAAATATATTTGAAAAATCTGTAATTTGGACTAAAATCAGTGATTTTCAGATAGGTTAAAAAAATAATTAAAAATTTTTTTTTTCGAAATTTCAAAATTTCGAAATTCAAAAAACTAACCTCCAACAATCAAATAAACATTCGGAAGAGCTTGCTTGATTTGCAAAAATTGATTGGCATGACCATAATGAAACATATCGTAGACACCATCTGCGTAGACACGAACTGGGCGGGAAACTGCAAAATTTGAATTTTGAAAAAAAGTTTTTTTTTTCAAAAAATTTGACACTTTTTGGAATTCAGTTTGTAAGTATGTAAATCAGCTTGAAAAGACTTTTAAACAATTTTTTTTTCAAAAATTTTCCAAATTTCGAAATTTTCAAAATTTTACCATTTCCAGATTTCGCGGCTTCCAGCGTGATTTGGGTCGAGTAATCGATCAGTTCCCGTTTTTTGATGATTTCTGGGTCATCACTGAATGAGGCCGGTTTGAAAGATGCCAATGGATCGGACATTTTTTTCTTCTTCTTCTTCTTTTTGGGCTGAAATTTTTTTTAATTTCAGAATTTCAAAATGTCGGAAATTCAAAGAACCAGACGCTCTAGGACTTTAGCAATTCATGTCATTCAGAAATTCAAGTAAATTTTGAATTTTAGGATTTTTTTCTACAGTTTTGTGTAATTCAGAAACTCTCGAAAATTCCTGAATATCAAAAATTAACATTCCGGAAAAATTTCAAAAAAAAAGAGAAAATTTTCAATTTTAATTTTTATAAATTCAGAATTTTAGGAATATCAAAAACTGCTTTTTTCTGATTTCTAAAAATTTTAAATTTTTTGAAATTCTATGCTTTTGGGATTTTTCGAAAAAAAAACCATGAAAATTCTGGAATTCTGGAAATCCCAGTTTCAGAAAATCTAGAACTGGAAATATCAAAAATTCCTGAATTTTTGAAAATTCAGCTCCGAAATTTCGGGTTTCTGAGTTGCTGATTTTCTGAAATTCCAATTTTTTGAAATCTGATTTTTCGAATTTCAGAATTTTGGAAATTTCATGAAATCAGAAATTTCGAATTTGAAATATAGAATTTTTGAATTTCTGAATTTCAGAACTTCAGAATTTCAGAATTTCTATATTTCTGAATTTCTGAGTTTCTGAATTTCTGAATATTCGAATTCCTCAGTTTTGGAAATTTCATAAAAACGGAAATTTCGAATATGAAATCCAGAATTTCGAAATTTATGAATTGTTAAATTTCTGAATTTTGGAATTTTTAAAATTTATAGAAATCCCGAAAAAATACGGAAAACATATCAGAAAAAGTGAAAATAGTATAAAACTGAAAAAAAAGTAAAAATAGTATAAAACTGAAAATTGACCAAAAATTAGAAACTGGAGAAAGGTGTGGTCAGGTGGGTGCTTGTAAAATGATAAATTAGTGATAAGGAAAGTGGACTTTTATGATAATTATTTTTATGAGTCAAAAAAGGGAGGAGACACGTAGTTTCAGCCAACAAATAATGATGATTTGAATTATAGTTTTTTTGGAAAATTAAACGGAAATTTTTTCGGAAAATTGGAAAACTGATGTTTGAAGTTTTTGAGAATTTTGTAGCATATATAGATTTCTAGATTTTTAGATTCCTGAATTCCTGGATTCCTGAATTCCTGGATTCCTGGATTCCTGGATTCCCAGATTCCTGGATTCCTGGATTCCTGAATTCCTGAATTCCTGGATTCCTGGATTCCCAGATTCCTGGATTCCTGAATTCCTGGATTCTTAGGATCCATAGGCTTCTTAGATTCTTAGATTCCTGGTTTCCTGGATTCCTGGATTCCCAGGTTCCTGGATTCCTGGATTCCTGGTTTTCTGAATTCCTGGATTCCTGAATTCCTGGATTCCCGAATTCCTGGATTCTTAGGATCCATAGGCTTCTTAGATTCTTAGATTCCTGGTTTCCTGGATTCCTGGATTCCCAGATTCCTGGATTCCTGGATTCCTGAATTCCTGGATTCCCGAATTCCTGGATTCTTAGGATCCATAGGCTTCTTAGATTCTTAGATTCCTGGTTTCCTGGATTCCTGGATTCCCAGATTCCTGGATTCCTGGATTCCTGAATTCCTGGATTCCTGAATTCCTGGATTCTTAGGATCCATAGGCTTCTTAGTTTCTTAGATTAATAAAATCTGAAATTCCCCAAATCTCAGAACTCCAGAGTTTTGAGAAATTCTAAACATTCGAATTTCAGAATTTTCGGATTTTCTCTTGAAATTTCAAATTGTAGAATTTTCCAAAATTTCAAATATTCAAAAAATTCAGGAAAGTTTATAACGTTCTTTGAAATTCGAAACATTGGAAGTTCGAAAATTTTGAAAATTAGAAAATTCAAAAACTGTCGAAATTTAGAAATTCGACTTTTCAGTTTTCAGAAATTTCAGATTTTGGAATTCAGAAATTAAAGAATTAAGGAAACAAAAAAAGAAAAAATGCCGAAATCCAAAAGAGCGAAAATTCAAAAAAGGTGAAACCATTTCCATGGATTTTCCATGGAGAAAAACGTTTTTATGTGTCGAAAAGAAAACACAGAAAATTTTGACATTTGTGTTTTTTTCTCTTTTTTATCGCCGAAACAAAAATACGTCACTAGGTTTCAAAAAATCAAAAAAAGTTCAAATATTTTGGAAATTTTTTTTGAAAAAGTAAATTTAATTAAAATGAAATTTACAATTTTAATAATTTTATAAAATTTTAAAATTATAAAATTAGAATACTTTTTTAAGAATTTCTAAATATGTTTTATTATTTTTGTAAATTCAGAAAGATTAAAATTTTTTTGGAGTTTCTGAAAATCTAGATTTCAATTTTTTAAAAAATTTACCAAATTCAAAATTATTAAGACAGTTTTTCAATAAAAATATATATTATTAAACCGAAAAATCGAAATTTTTGGCACCATTTTTTATATTTTGTATGAACAGTGACTCAAAAAAAAAGTGAACAAATAATATATTATTATATGTACAGGCAGAAAAAATATGGAAATTATGGATTGAGGAAAAACAAATTTTCGGAATGTTTGCGCTTTTTTTTCGAAAATTCCTGAAAGTCCAGAATTTTTTGAAGGAAGGAATCTCAAGAATAAACTGAAAATTCTAAATTTCTAATAATTTTTTGAAAATTCCAAAATCTGAAATTAGGGAAAAAAACTAACATTTCAGATTTTTTAAAATTCCTATTTATAATTTTCAACTTATACTTTTTTTTTTCGCTTTCTGAAATTCTAGATTTTTGAAAAACTATTTTTTGGATTTTCCAGAATTTCGAAATATCAGAAAATCCAAGGATCCAGGGATCCAGGAATTCAGAGATCCAGGGATCTAGGGTTTCAGGGATTCAGGGATCCACGGATCCAGGGATCTAGGGAACCAGAAACCCAAGGATCCATGGATCCAGGGATCCACGGATCCACGGATCTACGGATCCAGGGACCTTGAGGTACAGGGACCCAGGGTGTTGCATCTCAACAGAACAAAAAGAACACACTGACATTTTTCCCCAAGAGCCTCCTTTTATAGTTTCCGGAAAGACATAAAAATATGGGAACGGAACGTAAACGGAGGCGATGGGAATTGGAAAGTATCAAAGATTACAGTTTACTGTAGAATTGAAGGTTTGACTGGGTCCTGGGTCCTGGGCAAATCGAATCGATTGGTGTAGTTTTCGCATTTCTAGGATTACTGTAGCTCGAGATACGGTAGTTTTAATGGATAAGTCAAAATTACAGTAATCCAAAAAAAATTTCAAATCTATCAAGAGTATATTCAATCAAAAGCTAAAATCGAAAAAGAAATTCAAGTGAAAAATTAATTTATTCCGAGTAAAATTCGAAAAAAAATCCAGTAATCATTCAACAATGGAATTTCCAGTTTCATCAGTTAGCATAGTGAGTATTCGATGAGCCATAATCGGTCCAACCCGGCGGCCATTCTCCGCCACGACGTCTCCAATCTCTTGAATCGCTTCCGAATAGTCCATTTTAGAGTATTTATCAATTCCCTCAATCGGATCCGGAATCAAATCGATAATTGCTCGCCGTTGCGAATCCGATAGACGATCAATTGTTGAGAGCATTTTCGACCACCAGTCCGACACGATTTCGCGGCGAGACCCCATTACGATACCCTGCAAAATTCAGGGGGGAATTTGAAATTTGAAATATCTAAAGGTTTTTGAAATTTCGGAAATTTGAAATTCAGAAAAATTTAAGATAAAAGTATTTCTAAACTTTCTTTTATTTCTAAATTTTTAGAAATTTTTTGGATTACTGTACTTTCGACTTCTCCATTAAAACAACCGTATCTCGGGCTACAGTAATCTTAGAAATGTGACAGTTAGACCAATCGACTCGGCTTGCTGTGAGCTCTCTATTGATTATAATCATGACTAGATTTTGGAAAATTTCTGGATTACTGTAATTTTGACTTCTCCACAAAAAATACCTTATCTCGAGCTACAGTAATCCTAGAGACATGAAAAAAATACACCAATCGATTTGGCTTGCTGTGGAGGTCCTAGAAGATTCTAGACGGTTCTAGAAGGTTCTAGAAGGTTCTACACTGTTCCAGGCGGTTCTAAAAGGTTCTAGAAGTTTCTGGATGGTTCTAGAAGCTTCTGGATGGTTCTAGACAGTTCTGGACGATTCTAGAAGGTTCTTGAAAGTTCTAGAAAGTTCCAGGCGGTTCTAGACTATTCCTGACTGTTCAAGACGGTTCTAGACTGTTCCTGACTGTTCTAATCGGTTCTAGATGGTCCTAGAAAGCTCTGAGAAGAAAAAAAAACTGCCGGGGAAATCGAAAAGTGGGCAGAGTCAAGGGGGCGGAGCATAAATAATAAATTTTGAAAAAATTCCGGATTTTTGGAATTTTCTATTTTGAAATTTGGTATTTTTTTGAAAATTTTGAAAATCTTGTATTATTTCAAATTCTCAAAATTCCCAAAAAAGCTGAAAATGCGCCCCAACAAACCTTCTTTCTCAAATACTGTAATTTCTTTGCTCCAGAGCCTCCAGAAGAGGTTCTAAAGGGTTCTGGATGGTTATAGAAGGTTCTAGACGGTTCTAGAAGGTTTTAGAAGGTTATAGAAGGTTCTGGACGGTTCTAGATGGTCCTAGAAAGCTCTGAGAAGAACAAAAAGGAAAAACCGGTAAAAATTGAAAAGTGGGCGGAGCCTAAAGTTAACTTTTTGAAAAAATTCCCGATTTTTGGAATTTTCGAGAAATCTTTCGAGAAATTTTTCGAGAAACCGATTTTTGGAATTTTCAATGTCATTTTTTGAAAAATTTAGAAATTTTCTATTATTTCAAATTCTCAAAATTCCCAAAAGCCAGCAAATGCGCTCCAAAAAACAAACCTTCTCTCCCAAATATTGTAATTTATGTGCTCCAGAGCCTCCAGACGCTCCAGAATCCTCCGTCTTCTGCTCCATCCTCTTCTTCTCTCTTCTCGCTAAACTTCTCAAATATTGTGCTGAAAATAGTGCCAACTCGGGAATCGAGTCGATTTGAACGAATTGCGCTCGATGCGCCGCGTAGATCTCCAACGAAATTCGGTGAATTCGCTTTTTTTGAAATTCCAATTTTCCGAATGAGACGATGAGCATCGTGCATCGTCCGTTTTGAAATCCGGCGCGTTGCTGAACATTTTTGAAAGTTTGAAAAATTTTTTTTTGGAATTTTCAGAATTTTCAGAAATTTTGAAAATCTGAAAATTGAAAAAATTTTTTTTTGAAATTTTCAGAATTTTCACAATTTTTAGAATTTCCCTGGATATTTCGATTTTCCAGAATTTTCCAAAAAAAATTTCTTTTCGAATTTTCAATATTTTCCAATTTTCCAAAATTTCCATTTGTCTGTGTGTCCCGATGTCCCGATGCCCCCTTACCTCTTCAATGAAATCCGTCAAGGATCCCGATTCGATGACGTCTTTCAGCGTTCCAGCCGGCACCACCACGGCGAACAAGTTTTGGGTTGACTGAAAATTTTGAATTTTAGAAAATTGGAAATTCTGAATTCCTGAAAATTCGAAAAATTGAAACTACGAAATTCTAAAACTTTGGAAATTCAGAAATCCAAAATTTCGCTCCAAGATGTTTCAGAACCCGACGTTTCAGAACCACGACGTTTCGGTACCACGACGTTTCAGAACCACGAAGTTTCAGAACCACGACGTTTCGGAACCACGACGTTTCAGAACCACGAAGTTTCAGAACCACGACGTTTCCGAACGCGACATTCCGGAACCACGACGTTTCGGAAACCGACGTTTCGGAACCACAACGTTTCAGAACCACGACGTTTCGGAACCACGACGTTTCGGAAACCGACGTTTCGGAGCCACGACGTTCAGAACCCGACGTTTCAGAACCCGATGTTTCAGAACCACGACGTTTCAGAACCCGACGTTTCGAAACCACGACGTTTTGGAACCCGACGTTTCGGAATCACAACATTTCAGAACCCGATGTTTCAGAACCACGACGTTTCAGAACCCGACGTTTCAGAAATTGAAATGAACAAAAAAAGCAGAAATTGAAATGAGCAATACGCATTTTGGTGTACAAAAACCATTATGCAAAAATGCAGAAAGTTCTGAAACGTCGTGGTTCCAAAACGTCGGGTTCTGAAACGTCGGGTTCTGAAACGTCGGGTTCTGAAACGTCGTGGTTCTGAAACGTCCTGGTTCCGAAAAGTCGTGGTTCCAAAACGTCGTGGTTCTGAAACGTCGTGTTCTGAAACGTCGGGTTCTGAAACGGTGGGTTCTGAAACGTCGTGGTTTCGAAAAGTCGTGGTTCTGAAACGTCGGGTTTTGAAACGCCGGGTTCTGAAACGTCGGGTTCTGAAACGTCGGGTTCTGAAACGTCGTGGTTCTGCAACGTCCTGGTTCCGGAAAGTCGTGGTTCCAAAGCGTCGTGGAGTCAAATTTTGGATTTCTGAGCTTCCAAATTTTCAAAATTCCAGAATTCTTTGGACATCCGGACATCCGGAAACACAGAAAACCAACCATATACTCAAATCTCTCATTCTTCCCATCCTCGTCCTCTTTCAATTCGACACATTTTCGTCGCCATTCGATTCTCGTCCCCAAATCCGTATCGATTTTCAGCTGATCGGCGATTTTTCGATCCGCGTAGACCAGTTTCAGCTCAGCTTCAAGGCCGGCTGAAAATTTCGAAAATTTTGAAAAAAATTTTTTTTCAAATTTTCATTTTTTCAGTATTTTCAGATGGTTTTTGCTGAAATTATACAGGAAAACATTTCCAAAAAAAATTTTTTTTTCAAAAATTCAAATTTCCCGCCAAGCCAAAACTCACGAATTGTGTCAACGACCGTCTTGCCAACGTGGCAATACGTGTATTGCTCACACTTTGAGTTCAGCGCCGCCGAAATTTCTCGTTCGATTCTTCGTTGCTCTTTTTCTCTCTGTAATTTTTTTTGTAATTTTTTTTTGTAATTTTTAATTTTTGGGCTTCGCGCCATTTCGAAACCGCGACATTTCGCAACCGCGATATTTCGAAACCGCGACACTTCGAAACCGGTCATTTCGAAACCGAAGAAAACACGGTCACGTAAAATGACGTAAAATCAGTTTCGATATATCTCGGTTTCGAAATGAATGGTTTCGAAATATCGCGGTTTCGAAACGTCCGGTTTCGAAATGTCGCGGTTTCGAAAATTCCGGTTTCGAAAAGTCGCGGTTTCGAAGTGTCGCCGTTTCGAAGTGTCGCAGTTTCGAAATGTCGCGGTTTCGAAGTTTCGCGGTGCCAAATTTTCTCACCTCCTTTTCCTCCTTTTTCTTCTGAATTTCTCCTTTTCTGTGATCTTTTTCAGCCGTTTTCCGCTCCTTCTCTGCGTCTCTCATGCGTTTCGCACTCTCTTTGAGTTCCTGGAAAAATTTCAAAAAAATTGAATTTTCAAATTTTTCGAAATTCTGAAATTGAGATTTTCAGATTTAACGTAAAACAAATTGAAAATCTGAAAATTGAAAAAAATGGAAATATTTTTATGAAATCTGAAAATCTGGAATTCCGAAAAAATCAAATTTTTCGAAAATTCCAGATTTTCAGATTTTCAAAAGTTTCAGATTTTTCCATATATTAGATCCAGATTTTCCAGATTTTTTCTTTATTTTCAAATTTTTGAATATTCCGTTTTTTCGAAATTCTCAAAATTCCAGATTTCCAGATTTTTCAAAAATTCCAGATTCTCAAAATTTCAGATTTTTAAATTTTTTGAAATTTGCAAAATTCAAAATTTTATAAAAATTTCAGATTCTCAAATTTTCTAGATTTTCAGGAATTCCAAAAATTCAGATTTCCAGATTTTTCAAAAATTCCAGATTCTCAAAATTTCAGATTTTTAAATTTTTTGAAATTTGCAAAATTCAAAATTTTATAAAAATTTCAGATTCTCAAATTTTCTAGATTTTCAGGAATTCCAAAAATTCAGATTTCCAGATTTTTCAAAAATTCCAGATTCTCAAAATTTCAGATTTTTAAATTTTTTGAAATTTGCAAAATTCAAAATTTTATAAAAATTTCAGATTCTCAAATTTTCTAGATTTTCAGGAATTCCAAAAATTCAGATTTCCAGATTTTTCAAAAATTCCAGATTCTCAAAATTCCAGACTTCCAGAATTTCAAGAATTTTTGAGAATCCCAGAATTTCAAAGTTCCAGATTTTCAAATTTTTGAATTTTGCTGAATTCCAGATTTTTCAAAACTTCCCGATTCTCAAAATTCCAGATTTCCAGAATTTTCTAAAAATTCAAAATTTCCAAAAAATCCAGATTTCCAGAATCCTTCTTCACACCTTCTGCGTCTCCTTCTCATCCTCTGCCAATTTCCGTTTCTCTGGTCTAATCGAATTCGATGATGACGTGGCGGCGAATTCAGAAGACGTCGCCGCTGACGACGACGTCGCTCGAAAATCGCCAAAATCGATTTCTCCAAAATTATCACCAGCGGTCGAGAACGTATTCTTTCTTTGAATCAATCTATCCAATTCGCTCATTTCATCGTCCAGCCAAGTTTTCGAGCGAATCGGTTGACTTCGCGGTCGATTATTGATTGATTCCATCAGTGAGTAGCTGGAAGTGCATCTGGAAACAAGAAATTTGGCTGAAAATAGTCGAAAAGTTCCCTTGGAAATCGCATAAAAATCCGCTAAAAATAGCCAAAAAATCCGCTGAAAATCGCATAAAAATCCGCTAAAAATAGCCTAAAAATCCGCTGAAAATCGCATAAAAATCCGCTAAAAATAGCCAAAAAAATCCGCTGAAAATCGCTTAAAAATCATCTGAAAATAGCTAAAAAATCGGCTGAAAATCGCTTAAAAATGGCCAAAAAATCACTTGGAAATCGCTTAAAAATGACCAAAAATAGCCAAAAATCCGCTGAAAATCGCTTAAAAATAGCCAAAAACCCGCTGTAAAACGCTTAAAAATGGCCAAAAAATCCGCTAAAAATAGCCAAAAAATCCCCTGGAAATCGTTAAAAAATGGCCAGAAATCGCGTAAGAGAAACCCCAATTTCCCGATTTTCTAGGCCAAACCTACATTTTCTCATCTTCCTTCTTCATCACCGTCGATTCCTCTATCACTATACACTCATCACCATCGTCATCTGACAAACAGATGGCGTCGTCGTCCTGGTCCATCTTCTCGAAATTCTGAAAAAAAAAATTGAAAAAAAAATCTGAAGTTTCAGCAAAAAAAATAGCAAAAAAAGGCAGTCCTATTCTCGAAAAAATCTGGAGAGAAAATTTGGATTTTTGGGGTTCGGGCGGAATTTATTGTCAACATTGGATCAGAAAAATCGTATGAAACAGTGAAAAATGTGGGGAAATTTCGGGGAATTTCAGCAAAAAAATGGGGAAATAGATTAAGTTTTTTGGGGAATTTTCAGGGGATTTTTGGGATAAAATAAGGGGTTTTTCTGTGAGAAAAAGGAGGGAAACAGAGAGAATATCGATGGGTTTTTAAGGCTGAAAAAGAAGAGAGAACTGAGAGAGTAAAACGAGGAGAAAATGTGGATTTTTAGCACAATTTAAGACGAAAAAGGGACGAAAAAAAAGGGGATTTTCAGCGCATTCTTTGAAGGAAAACAGATGGATTATCGTAATTTTTCAGGAGAGTAAAATAGAATTAAATAATGTCAGCAATGTTCATTGGCATCTCGTCGATTTGGGTCGAGTAGTATTGCTCAATGTCGCGAAGGATTCTGACGTCGTCTTGTTTGACAAAGTTGATGGCGACTCCTTTGCGTCCGAAACGTCCCGAACGACCGATGCGGTGGATGTAGAGCTCACGATTGTTGGGCAGGTCGTAGTTGATGACCTGGAATTTTTTAGAGATAATTTAGAGCTGAAAATTGCTCATTTTTCATTTGAGAAAAGGGGAGAAAATTGTGGTTTTTTGTGAAAATTTAGAGCTCTTTTTTCCAACAAAAAATGTCATTTTCAGCGATTCTGGCCAATTTTTCGGTCATTTTCAGCCATTTTTAGGCAATTTAAGTGTATTTTGGTGTGTTTCTATGGGGGTTTGGGACAATTTTCAGCAAATTTCAGTAGTAAATTCCCGTAATTTTCAGTAGTTGATGACAAGGAACATTTAGATTGCTCATTTCTCATTTTTAAAAAAACTTTTTGAGAATGAAAAATCAGGATTTAAGGCTGAAATCGCTTTAAAATTGCTGATTTTTAATTTTTAGAAATTAAAGCTGAGCAATTTAGGGGCTTTTTCATTCAGATTTCTACAGATTTTTTTCAACGAATTCTCAGACCTATTTCAGTCATTTTTTGCTCGTTTTTTCTGCCGTTTTCAGGTCTTTTTAAGCCTTTTTAATCGAAATTTCGGCTTATTTCCAGCCATTTGTTGATGTATATTCTGTTCCTTTAAGGGTTGATCCTCAGCAATTTACAGATCTACTAAAAATAGGCTTAAGTGAAGCCTATTTTTTGGTGGATCTTAGGCAATTTTCAGACATCTCCAAGCCATTTGCAGACTTTTTTGAGCCTGTTTTGGCTCGCTTTATGGCATTTTTAGGCTATTTTTAGGCTATTTACAGACAAAATTTAAGTAGCTTTCGAAAAATGTTTCGACATTTGAAAGGGGTCAGATTTCCACCAACTTTTGCCAAATTCACTGTTTTTCTGGGCTGATTTCAGCTATTTTTGAGAGGAATTCAGCCACTTTCAAGCTATGAGAATCTAGAATCTCAGAATCTAGATTCCCTCAACACCCCCCAAACTCACCAACGACACTTGTGGAACATCGAGTCCTCTGGCCCAGACATCCGTGGAAATCAGGACACGAGTGTTTCCAGCGCGGAACTCCTTCATCACCTCATCACGATCCTTCTGTTCCATGTCTCCGTGCATCGACGAGACGGTGAAATTCGCCTCCTTCATCTTGTCAGTCAACCAGTCGACCTGGAACGATTTTTTGAAATTCGCGGTTAATATTGGTAGTTCTGCCCGAAATTTATCTTTTCTCGAAGCTAAAAAAGCACTGAAAATGCTTGAGGCTCCAGAATCTGGAGCACTTCCTACCTTTCTACGAGTATTGCAGAAAAGCACGGCCTGAGTGATGGTGAGGGTGTCGTAGAGATCGATGAGGGTATCGAACTTCCACTCCTCCTTATCGACGGCAACGAAGAATTGCTTGATTCCTTCAAGAGTCAACTCGTCACGTTTCACCAGAATTCTGATCGGATCCGTCATGAATTTGCTGGTCATCTCGAGAATCTCGTGTGGAAGTGTGGCGGAGAGCAACACGACCTGAGCTCCAGGTGGCAAATAGCGATAGATATCGTACAGCTGCTCCTTGAATCCCTTGTTGAGCATCTCGTCGGCCTCGTCGAGCACCAAGAGCTTGATGGCGCGAGTGCGGAGGTTACGACGGCGAATCATGTCGAAGACACGGCCAGGGGTGCCTGAGACGACGTGCTGTCCGTAGTCGAGTTTGCGAATGTCCTCGCCGAGATTGGTTCCTCCAATGCACGCGTGGCATTGGACGTTCATATAGTCTCCGAGAGCCAAGACGACCTGGAAGTTTGGAGATTTGGCTAGAAGGGAAAATTTCTGGAAATGGAGTCTAAATTAGCTGAAAATAGCTGAAAATTCCTTTGAAATCGCTGGAAATGGGGTCAAAAACGCTGAAATTACCTTAGTAACGGTCAAGGAACCACTGAATATAGGTCTAAATTAGCTATTTCCAGCGAATTCAGACCTGTTTTGAAGGGATTTCAAGCTGTTTTCCACGAATTTTGGGTCATTTTCAGCCTATTTTCAAGGTTTTAAGTCAATTTTCAGCAACAATTAGCCGTTATCTATTTGGAGACGATTTTCAGTGAATTTCTTTCCGAAAGACACTTGTTTTTCCCGCGTTTTCAGTACGAAAACGGGGTGATTTTCAGTAATTGGCTAATCGCCAAAAAAACTAGGACTGTTTTGCACCTTACAAAAATTTCAAAAGCTCCAGACGCCAGAAAACGGTCAAAATGGGCATAAATCAACAGAAAAATATGTTTTTGCACATCTTATTGACCGAAAACAGCCCTCAAATCAGGTCTAAAATCGCTGGAAACGGCTAAAATTGCCTTCAAATTCACCTAAAACTCATTCTAAAACGTCTACAATTTAGTGGACAACTCTTCAGCTATTCTAACTTATTTTGGGAGAATTCAACCTGTTTCCAGCGAATTTAGAGGCTAAATTCGCTGGAAATAGCTTATATTCCGCCGAAAATCCATTCAAAAACCGAACCTTCTGAATCTGCACAGCCAATTCTCTCGTCGGCGATAGAATCAACGCCTGTGTCTCGCGGACTTGCGTATCCAACGATTGGAGCACCGAAATCGAGAACGTCGCCGTCTTTCCGGTACCAGACTGAGCCTGTGCGATGACGTCACGAGCCTTCAGAATCGCTGGAATCGCGCGTTGTTGAATTGCCGACGGCTTCTCGAAGCCATAAGCGTAGATTCCACGTAGCAAGTCCTCGCGAAGTCCCATTTTGTCGAACGTCGGGATGATGGAGACCTCTTCGGACGACTCGAACTCCACGGTCGCCATATCGTCATTCTTCTTTTTCCGATCCTCTGACATCTTTAGTTGGGTTGGAGGGATTGGGGTGCCTGAAAATATGAAAAATAGGCAATTTTATCGAGAAATAGGTCAAAAACGAGTAGAAAAAGACGAAAAATCGTCCAAAACAACTACTTAGTGCAAAATCAATATTAAAATGTGCAGAACGGTGGGCCTAGTGTCTCTATGGGGTAGCAGGCGGTGAGGGGGGGGGGGGGGGGGGCGGAGTCGGCCAATATATCGATTTTGACCTAGAAAACTGCGGGAAAATCGCAAATTTGAACTGAAAAATAGCCGGAAACCGAGTTTTTCAAGACAAACACCTATTTTTAGGCTATAAACTAGGCCAAAACGGTCCAGAATGAAAATTGCGAATTCTCGGCGAAATTTGAAGGATTTTGGGTGAAATTCTGGTCAAAGTCTGCAAAAAAACAGCGTTTTAAGGGTACAAAATAGCCAATAGTCACTGAAAAACCGCTGAAGATGTATTTTTCAATTTTGGGAGATTTCGGAAAATTTTCTTCGACTTTTCTAGAGAAAATCCGCTGTAAAACCCAATTTCACAGCTGAAAATAAACTGAAACGCCTAGAAAGCCAGGAAATTCCCAGCGAAAAATCAATTTCTTAGGGAAGTCTCGCCCAGTCTCAATTTTGTCCGATTTTCTCGGTTTTCAACGGGAATTTTCTGTAAACCTGACTTTTATTTGAAGAAATAGATTATTTAAAAACTATAGAAATCGAAAAAATCAAGAAATTCCATCGAAAACCCATCGAAAAACGGCGAAAACGCAGCGAAAATGAATTCGAAAATCACCGATCGGCTGGCCGCGTACTAGCTTTCTCCAGGCGCCTCCTCGTCCACGGCCCTCGTGTCGATTTACGCGGAGAGAGTGCAAATATTGATTCATCGTTCTCGCGTCATTTTCAGCCGTTTTTTTCGCTTTTTCAGCCTAAAAATTACCGAAAAATTCCAGAAAAATGGGAGGAATATTTTCGAAAAAAGAGAAAGCGCCCAAATCAGCGCCAGTGTCGGATCAGGACAACGCAATTCTGGCATTAAAAACGCAGAGGGACAAGATGAAACAAATGGTGAAACGGAAGGAGAATTGTCTAGAAAAAGAGCGGCAGCTAGCGAAACAATTGTTGAAAGATGGCAAGAAAGAGTGAGATTCTTTTTAAAAAAATCGAAAAAGTGTTTTTTTTTCAATTTTCAGCCGCGCATTGCTCATCCTTAAGAAGAAGCGATACCAGGAAAATATCATCGATCAAACGCTGAAACATTTAAGCAAAATTGAGCAAATGGTGAGCATGAAAAACCAAAAAAAAAAATTTTTCAAAAAAAATTTTTTCCAGGTAACCGACTTAGAATTTGCTGAAGTTCAACAACGAGTAACCGAGGGACTTCGACAAGGAAATGAGGCTCTAAAGAGGATGAATCAACTGTTCGATATCGATGAAATCGACAAAATCATGGAGGAAACCAAGGAAGCCGCGGAGTATCAAGCGGTATGAGGAGGGACATCCGGATGCACAGATTCACAGAAATTAATTTTTAAAATTTTCAGGAAATTTCAAATATGCTCTCTGGCCAGCTATCCAACGCCGATGTGTCCGATGTGGAAAATGAATTGGAGGAGCTATTGGCCGCCCAAGTTCCTGTAGATCTTCCAGAGGTTCCAGACCATGAAATGCCTGAAAAAGTTGCGGAAAAAGGTAAAATTTTCCGGAAAAAGATATTTTTTCAGCAAAAAATCCGAGAAATTTCAGAAAAAGAGAAGCCACGCCGCGAAAAAATCGCTCTGGAAGCCTAATCGAACATATCTTGTGAATTAATCATTTTTTTGTTTTGTTTGTATTTTTTTCTGTGAATGAATAAATATATTTATTGCTTCTCCGAATTTTTAATTTTCTTGAAGAAAATGTTTTGAAAATTGGCACAAAAATTCCCCAAATATCGCTAAAAATCTTTGATTTCCGCGCGGTTTTTATACGCCCTCCATACCATTTCTCTCCAGCTGCACAGTTGGCTTTTTGGTTAACGCGCTTGACTTCCAAGCGACACCTCTCGAGTTCGACTCCGGGTGCCTCCAAACTCTTTTTGCTTATTTTTATCGATGATTTGATATCGGAAAAGAGTTGAAAAAAAGAAAACTTAATTTTAAATGGTTAAAAAAAAGAACATCGTCAGAAATCAAATTTATTGGGACATGGTTTCTAAGCAAACATAGAGACGCAGACATCCGCACACACTCTCTGTATTATTGACTTATTGTGTCCTTTTGCGGAGATCTTTCCCCGATTTTTTTAGGAAAAATCAGAAAATTCCAGAAAAAATGACGAATACAACACGACGACGAATGCCGATAAGTGAGGAGAACGAAGGTGAGTCGCCACCAAAAGCCGCCCACTCTTATACGCACTCTAACCTCTCATATGTCAACTGCACGCTTTGTGTTTTGGCTAACGCGCCTGGCCACCAAGCGACACCTCGGGGGTTCGACCCTCACTGCTTCCAAACTCTTTATTTTCTTTTTGCTTCGTTTTCTTGACTTTAGCATTGAGCAAGCACAAAACGGAACGGAGGCGGCTGACAGGCTGCTGGCTAGCAACCTACTCAAATATTTTGATTCTTCTTCTCCCATTCAAATATTCTTTCGCACATTTGTTCTTTTCTTCCGTAATGACGTTTGGGGTGTCTGGTTTTCTGGAGGGTTGAGTCATTAGAAAAGAGGAAAAAACTCCATTCATTTTAGTAATCCACACACACACATACACCAGATGTGAAAATGGGTTCTGTCAAAATTAAACAAATATTTTTCCTCTTTTTTCTCATTAATTTTTTTCTTTCTCATTTCGTTTATAACTGGATCTTTTAATGATGAGCAATAGTCTTTTTTTCTGTTTTATGAAATTATCAAAAACTGATCGTTGAAAAATATCTATTGGTATGGAAATGCGTTTCAAAGCAAACACTTGAAAAAAGCGTTTTCCCTATTTCACCAGTCTGAAAATCTATCTGAAATTTGTTCAATTTGTCTGAAAACTACTGGATATACTAATCAGAACAAGACCTTCATTATTTTAATTAACAACTTTTTTGTAAAGTTTGAGCCTGGGGAGTTATGCCACACGGAAGAGGCCCAGACCCCTTTGAGCCGTCGCTGCCCCCATCCCTCAGGTGCCCTTCCACGTGGCATATCTCTTTAGGGCGCTGTTGCACAAAAAAGTTGTCAACTACAGTAATGAAGTTCTAGTCTTGTGCAGTACACTGACAAAATTTTAAAAAATTCGAACAAGTTTGAAGTGATTTTGTGATGCACTGAAAAACGGAGCTATAATCATTCCGTTAAAAAATGGCTCTAGTTTAAAGGCGCATAGGGAAACGAGATTAAAACAATGGCATATTTATATTCATTTGAAAGACTAAAAAAAGTAAAATCCAAAAATTTAAATTTCATAAAGCTAGGTAAGAAATGAACGGAGATATGGGGATTCGAAACTTGGGTCCAGTGTAAAAGGCACATAAGAACTTCTGGCGGCATTAAAGGCGCATAGGGATATTTTAAACTAGGTCATATTTATATTCATTTGAAAGCCTAAGAAAAGCTTAATTCAAAATTGTGAATTTCGTAAGATTACATCAAAAGTTAACGGAGATACGATCATTTGAAAATGGGATCCAGTTTAAAAGCGCAAAGGAATTTTCGGTGGCATTAAAGGCACATAGGGATATTTCAAACATTGTCATATTTATATTCATTTGGAAGCTTGAGAGAAGCTCAATTTGATCATGTGAGTTCCATGAGGCTAAGTAGAAAATGAACAGAAATATGGGCATTTTAAAACCTACAACCGCAAAATCCAGTGGCGGCGCTGCAACACAACAACACCTTACAAGTAATTGGCGATTTTTGAACCATCTCCCAAAGTCCCCTGCATCCTTCAAAAGAAAATTTGACCTACTTTTTGTCCCGGCGGGGGCTCCGGGAGCCAGGCTCACCCCCACACCGGACACTTTGTGAAAAAAGCGACAACAGCTGTTCGGGGGAGAATATACGGGGGTCTTTGGCTGTCAGTCATCATCATTCTTCACATTCTGTTTCCTTTACAACCTTCTTCACATTCTTCTCTTGTTTTTTCTCCCGTTTCACCCATTTTTTGAATTTTTAATGACCTATATGTTAGTGGTTAATGGCATGCGTTCTTTTTCCCTAACGAGTTTATTCTATTTTCCGTTCATTAGGTTTTTTCAGAGAAAAGAGCATAAACTACACTTCTCTCTCTCTCTCTCTCTCTCTCTCTCTCTCTCTCTCTCTCTCTCTCTCTCTCTCTCTCTCTCTCTCTCTCTCTCTCTCATCTATTATTTTTTCTCAAAATGACAGATGGCTCCTCTCATATCATTTTCTTTTTTTGAAAAGAAAAAGAGGTCTTCTGTTTCACCTAACCGCAGAAAAACGAGATGACAGATGACACAAGGATCTCGTGCTCTTATTTTTTTCCTTTGAAAATTTCGAGTTGTGCTGCTGATAATACAAACTTTTCAACTTGATCACAAACGTATTTCTCCGATAAGCCAGAGTTTTTGAGCCTCGAAATGTACTCCAAACAGCTAAAAATTCTATAAAAAACTATTTGGGCTTTAAAGGAATCGAACTTTTGGGTCATCTGCTCCCCCCCC